AATCAGTTTATTCACTGGGAAACTGATATGCCTTTCTAGAGAAGTCAATATATTTTGAGTTGTTGATAGGGAGTTTTTTTCTTCATTCATGTTTGGCACTAAAATTTTTGAATAGCCAATTTCCTTGTGCTTGTATCAGATTCAAAACTATGTTGGTCAAAATTTTGTTTAAGGAGTCTTTTTTTTGGTGGTACTGAAGTTTGAACTCGGGGCCTCATGCTTGCTAGGCAGGTGCTCTACCACTTGAGCCACTCTGCTTGTCCTACTGAAGACTTTTAATGTTATGAGAGGAACATAAAGTGCTGCTTTCAACTGAGATATATGACAACCTATGCAAGTGTGCTATTTGTTGGAAATAATTGGGATTTTTTCCAGAGGAATAATATAGAACTTTAATCCTTAATCCATAAAAGAGAAACTTTAACTTTCGGAGTCTAATTCAATTTAAAAGTTGTTAGAAATTATATACAGGGAAGATTATTTTCTTATCTATTTCTTTAGAAAATCTAAACTATGAACAAAATGACTTCAGAGTATTTTATGCCCGTGTTCTAATATTTTCACCTCTTACAGAGACACTTTCTTTTAGTTTCTTTTTTTCTTTATGAGTGTGTGTGTGTGTGTGTGTGTGTGTGTGTGTGTGTGTGTGTGTTTAGGGGGGCAATACTGCTGTTTGACTGAGGGTCTTGCACTTGTTAGACAGATGCCCATAGTCATTTTTTGTTTGTTATTTTTTGTTTGTTTGAGCCATGCCCAAAGCCATGTTTTGTTTTTTATTTCTCAGAAAGGGTCTCACATTTTTGCCCAGGTTTGGCCTCAGTCCATGATTTTCTTACCTAAGGCCTCCCAGGTAGCTGGGACCACAGTCACACACCGCCATGCCTGGCTTATGTATTGTGATGGGGTCTCACTAGCATTTTTCCTGGGATGGACTCAGAGTGTAATTTTTCTGAGCAGCTGGATTATAGGCATAAGTCACCATGCCCAGTCTAGACCTACTTTCTTGAATAGCAATTTGGCACTATGTTTTTATCTTGTAAGGAGGCATGCTAACAGAAAACGTGGCAAAATAAATAATATTAATAAGGATACTATCTTATTCATGATCCCCCCATTTTCTTCTACTAGTTATAAGTTCTGGAAAAATCTATCAGACTGATACTAAAGTTAAAATGCATTTTAATAATTATTTTTGATCATTTGGACACTTAAGAGTTTCATAAGTATGTTTACCTCCTTATTTTTTCAGGGTGTTAGCTAGTTTTTCAGCACTGTAATAAAATACCTAAAAGACAACTTAAGGGAGGAAAAGTTTATTTTAGCTCATGGCTTCAAAGGTTTCAGTTCATGGTCAGCTGACTCCATTACTTACAGGTCTTTGGCATGTGGAAACATCATGGTGGAAGGGCAAGGAAGAGAAAATTGCTCATCTTGAGACAGGCAGGAATTAGAAAGAAGCAGGATGGGGTGTGGGACAAGATTTACCCTATAAAGGCATACCCTTGGTGATCTAATTCCTGCAACCAGGCCCTACCTCCTAATACCCTATTCAGTATGAACTAATAAATGTAGTAACCCATTGATTAAGTTAGCACTTTCATGATCCAGTTACGTCTCAATGGTGGATCTACCAGCTAGGGACCAATCCTTCAACACATGAGCCTTTTGTGGATCACTTCACATCCAAATCATAACAGTCTGCTGTGGCTTTAATGATCCCTGCCCATTCCACCATGTATGGGATATTACAGACATATTTCTGTGCAAAGTTTTTATTACCATCTGAATGTTTCCCCTTCCCTAGTTTTCTAATTTATTTATACTTATGCTTATCCATTTGTAATATGCTCTCTCTCTCTCTCTCTATATATATATATATATATACTTAAGTCATCCTAATTTTCAGAATTTGATAAATCTTAAATATAATTAAGAAGTGTAAAATAAAGCTAAAAGTATTTAATTACAGTCCAATATACTTGAAATGCTTTATTTAGAATAACAAAAGATCAATCAATTTATATTTAAATGAATTTTATGTGTAAAATATTTACCAAGATATTCAAATATTTTCATGTATAAATTAATACAATGTTCTTGGATCAATAGAACTGACAAAATATTTGTTAGAAGTAAATGAAACAGCTTAAAAATAAATCGGATATATTATGCTTTTTTCAGTCAAAAATTCTCCTTATCTCAACTAGCAAAAATGCTATGTGTTTCCTATTATTGCTTATTTCTACTCTTCAATGGAACTGGAGAAAATCACAGAATAGGTTCTGCCTGGAAGAGAGGCAGGGGAAGATGGTGGGGGCGGGGGACTGGGGAGAGAAATGACCCAATGTATGCACATGTGAATAAATGAATTTAAAAAATTCTTGGAAAGACTGGCAAGTACATTTGATATACATTTAAAGGATTGCCTAATTTATTTTTTAAAAATTTGACATTTATTCTTTTACACAGCAAATGAGACTTACAGCTAGAATCAAGCTTCCCATCTACCAAGAAAACATGTGAAATGAAAGAATAAAGTAAGGACTTGAGGATTCAGTAAGTGAACATACTTCCAGAACAATCAAGACTCCTGTATGACAAAGATAATCTAGAAACCTGTTTGGAGAATTTTTCTTATGGTATTTTAATGATTTATGGTGAAGATAATGTAAACATACCTCTTTTGGAAATTTAGCATTGACTTCATGTATAGTGTGCAATACTGAATTCATTTGTGGTATACTTTTAAATTTTCTCCTAACTTGCTTATAAATGGCAGAATTTTTTAAAGTATGCATTATGTCTAGTTTTATTCTTTCATGTGCCATTATGATAGAATTCCACATTATATTTATAGAAAGACTCGATTATTACTGGTTGAATTGTATTCCCCCAAAATACGTATGATGAAGTCCTAATTGACCACACCTCAGAATGTGATGGTATTTGGAGATAGGACATTTAAAGAGGTAGTTGAGTGCCCTAATACAATGTGACTACTGCCCTAATAGGAAAAATGTGGGAGGCAGACACATGAACAGGGGAGACTAACATGAAGACCAAGATGTCTATCTACATGTCAAGGAAAGAGGTCTCAGAAGAAACCAATCCTCCTGACACTTTGATTTTGGACTTCTAATCTCCAGAACTGTGAGAAGTAAATTTCAATAGTTTAAACCATTAGTCTGTAATACTTTTCTATGAAAGCCCTAGAAATCTATTATACCTGTTCAATTTGAAAACAGCAATCAAAAATATTTTCTATGGTAGTAAGAGGGATATTAATGAAAGTGAATCCTAAATATGAATCTCTTATATATACTACAACTTGCCCCAATGAATGTTTTACAATATTTCATACTTCAAGTAGAACATAGCTATGTTTTTATTTGGATCTTATTCTAAGATCCAAATACAGAAGTAGGTCATTTTTTTTTTCATGGAGACAGGTCATGCAGGCCTTTATCTAACTATGTAAAAGCCAGCTATGACACAGCTCTGGCCAAGGTATTTGTCCCCCAGAATACATTCTTTCTTTATTCATTTTAGTATGAGATCATTTCAGCAGGGTACACAGAACATAATTTCTGAGAAATGGAATAAGAATCGAAATAATGTGTGGACCTCTTACAACGTATCCTTGAAAGGGAACTGGTTGTCCTCCATTTCATTATCTCCCTTGTTGTGGGTTAAAGTTAAGGTAGTGGTGAGTAAGGTTTACCCTGGGAGTACAAATGCACAGAATGTAAAATGATGGAAAGAAAATGACCCAAGTCTTAGGATGATTTCATGAAGCAAGGCTACTTGCCTTACCCTGAACTACCAACCTTACATGAGATAAAAATGCACTTCTATCTTCTCTGAGCCACTTCATTTTTGGCTTATTTCTTATAGTAGCTAAGCTTGTACCTAAACATATAATTGTTATTAATTTAATCTAAACAAGAAATTGAAATTTAATAAATGTTTTATTGATAAGGAAAAATAAGGCCAATGTAATTTTTAACCTGCACCCTCTATATCCTCCTTACTATCATAACCTCACAGAATTTTGTCCACTATTATTTGTTTGAAAAATTTATGAGATAAAATTTATTATTATTTCTTCTCTAAATCTACGTAAAGAAAAACAGTTTTCAGTTTTGGTCTCATTATATGATTGCAAGTTTTTACAAAGAATTCATAAAATTCCCTGACTTTGGGTAATCATCTAGATAGCTATGTTGAATAAAAAATACAGCACAGATCTCTTAAACAGCTAGTTAACACAGGTATACATATCTATTAATTAAAAAAATCAAGGGAATGGGTATGCTATGATTTACTTTTTATCTAAAAGACCTATTAACATTGAGATGGAAACATGTTATTAATATCAGCTATTTCCTTTACAATGAATCAGCTGTAAAAAAAAGCATTAAGCTATGAGTGCATTGAACTTAAATTCTAAGTGATAAATGTCTGACTGGCTGTCAGAGAAATGGCAAGAATTTCACCAGCTGAGGATAAATGGGGACCCAGTGCTCTTTAGTGATGGAAATTATAAAGCCAGCATAGACACCTTAAGATTTTTTCTGATTACAACCTTGGCAATGTGCTGAGAAATCTTTCATGTCCTATCCATATCAAATGTCCACAGCCACTGGATACTTGCTCTGTTCATGGTTGTGAGGTCCATCTGTGCAGTCTAGGTTTAAGCAAGCTAAGAGAATGGAGCTTCTTTCTGGGCTGACTTTTGATTACTGGCATATGCTTTTTTAAGCACTTACTGATAACCTATTTAATCCAAAGTAAATTTGGAGATATTATTGCTAAAGCTTACCATTGCTTTTATTGTCTTGAATCTGCAGTTAAATGATTGACTATTTCTTGAGAAAAGGGAAAATGAAGCAAGACAATATTTATAATTCTATTGTTGCACATTAACATGTCTTTATAAAATCATATTATTATGTGTTTTCATGTATGTTAAAAATAACCTTCAATAATGTAGGTTTTACCTTTCCCCAGGCCACTTCAGAATCTAAATTACTGGGCATTCCTTCAACTGCTGATCTTTTTGTCAACTCCATATCTGTAGCTGCCAGCCATTCTGTCAAGACATTCATTTCCTTTCTCATCTTACGGGACAATTTCAAGCATTTCTCCAACTGTTGCTTTCTTTCTGTTACCTGAAAGGAATGATAAAAAATGTAATATGGATTACTTTTCAATTCAGATTTAGTTGCAGTCACTTAATTGGAACAGTCATATTTCTGTCATTTAGAAATAACTAAACTATTTTCCTACATGTTTTATATCATACTTTAGGAACATCATATATTGTGAATATTAATAGTAAATAACACAATCCAGAGCAGATGAGATCCTTTTGTCCAAAAGACAGCATTTTGTACCTGCTGTTAGAGTAGAAAAAAAAAGCTTACTGAACTTATCTCTAACATAATGCAAAATAATTTATGGCCAAAGTTTGTTATAAATAGGATAGTACAAGCCAAACTGAAGGTATGATCCATTTTTTATAGAAAAACTATAGAGAGATTGGCAAGCAGGTTGATAATCTTTAATATATAAATGGAAATTACTCCATTATGCTCCTTGCAGTTCCCCAAAGAAGCATCTCACTAAGTATGCTTTATATGTTGCATAAAGCAATGAATGAAAACCTACAAACCATTAATTGCAAGTCAGACAAAATAACCAGTTGAAATTACAAGAAGTAAACTCTTATAAGTTTGTTTTTCGTTTAGTTATTTATCTATATTAAATATAAAACAAACAATTTTTTTCAGTCATGGATGGGAATCTGAGCATTATATGTAAATATTTGACTATACAGGCGACTTGATAGAGTGTAAGCATGTTAGGCTCTGTATTGCCCAGTAGAATCTCAATTTGCCTATAATCTTTGGATCAAACAAGGACACCTCATTTCCTGCATTTTACACATCTATCAGTGAGTCATTTATCATATAGGATTGTTTTAAGGGTAAAGTCAGACCACAGTTTGAGATACCACTATAATTCTTCAGTTCCTTCCTTTGTGTTCATTATTTCCCTTCAGAGTTGACTCAGGAAATCTATGCCTGAAGGTATATGACAAAAGTTTTACTCGAATTCATTTTACTACTTTACTAGTAAAGAAAACTTCAGAAGATCTTGCTAAGAGATCTGAAATGTAGATTTTAAATTAATCTCAACATAAGGAAATTATTTAAAACAATAATAACAACAATGCACACACATAGTTGAACATAATGTCCTATACATAAAAGCTAGAAGTGACTACGTACACAAGTATATATAGATACACACAAGTGAATCTGCAGCTAAAAATCCCACCATAAGCATGAGAAAACACCAAAAGTGCATATAAAGAATTTAAAATGCTGCAAGCAAAAAAAAAACACCCCAAGACCCTAATAAAACTTCCAAATATTCAATAAAATTCATCAGTTTCTTTAAGAGAAATGTACATACATTCAGAAAATGTTTAGATGCTGAGGTTGCAAATTCAATTTGTTTAACAGATTTTCCCTTCTACTTTTCCTTTAAGGGAACTAAGACCATCTGCCCTTTTGACTACAAGGATTCTATTTGTATGTGGGCGGAAAAAAAAAAAAACTTATGCTGTGTTTCTATGCAGTTATTTTTTTTTATGCACTACTGGTAGAAAAGGATTTTAGATTCAATATTTCAAAAAATTCTATCTTCCCAGAGCTAATGCATTATTGATTTTTATTTATTTTATTTTGTTTATATCCAGCTAAGTAGGTTTTGAAAAGACAGAAGACACTGCCACCTTAAGGAAATTTGAGTTTTATACTTTGTATGTGTATTTCTGTGTATGTGTGTGAGGGGGGTACATTTAATAGAGTGCAACTCGCAGTAAAATGTTTCAACAGTCATTGTTCCATGAATACTAATAATTGTATTTTGGGGATGCTATGCATACTGCTATGTTTACCTTTATAAAAATCAAAGCACAGAGAGAGAGAGAAGAGGAATTGTAGACATTACTATTTCAAGATGTAGATATGAGAAACTACTCTATTTTTATCCATTGAACAATTAAGGTAAGTCATTGACATTTTTAAGAAATAACAAAGTTGCACATTGTAAAAATGTGCTATGGACTGAATTATTCTCCCTAAAATTCCTATATTAAAACCCTAACTCCTACCTAATGTGATTGTATTTTCAGTCACTGTATCTAGTTTTTAGGAAGTTGTTAAGGTTAAGTGTGGTCATAAGTGTGAGACGTGTTTAATAGAGTTAACTCATTCCACTTATTTAGTGTAATGGAGTTAGCGTGCCACAAATTACTTTTTCATATGACCCAAGCCTTGCATAACATACCACACTTGGCCAATAGGATAGTATGGATAAATAATTAAGTTTTGTAGTTCTATAATTATTCTTCATTGTTAAACTGATCAGAATCTAATTTGATAGGACTGTGGCCTTATAAGAGGGAGAAAGAGAGTGATCTATTTCTTTCCACCAGGGAAGACACAATGAAAAAGTAACAATCTGCAAGCCAGGAAAAGAGTCCTCTTCAGGAGCACAATGCACATTGATTCTTGGAATGCCACACTATAGGACTTTAATAAGTTCTTGTTGTTTAGCTACCCAGTGTAGTCTTAGTTGATCACTACAAAAAAGTAACACATTTAATTGAGGTAAGTACAACCATGTAAATTCTGAAGATGATTACAATAGAAGCATTCATCTTTTATAATAAATAATGTAATAAAATATCCTTTGTTGCCTTTGCTTTTATTAAGTGAAATCACTGTTGAAGATGGCTGAAGGTCAACAAACAACTTTTTCTTAGTCAAGGAATATATGACTTACAGTATAAAATGGCATTAATGTATAATTCCTTAATCATTAATTCTTCTAAAGTAACATTTACTTCAAATAATATTGTACCATATGTTTTTTGCTGTTCATCATTCCATTAAAGCATGATTTCTTAGCACTTCTTTCATTTGCTTTAACAAGATTACTAAATGCCAAGTGGTTAAAATAAACATAAGCTCTCAAATACGTACTTTCAGAGATAAACAGGGCTTTGCATCATTATAAGCATCATTAAATTCTTAATAATAATCAACTGAGGGTCCTAATACTCTTTGAATGTCATTTTTATGGTTTTAAATTCTAAGTGACTTATTCTGTTATTTTATATCAAGTTTACTCTTGTAAAGGCAAAGATTTTGTATAAATACTGTACAGCCAAGAAAAGGCCCTAGACAAGAATGCATATTTGAAAAAGTAAAATTAGAAAATCACCTTTCCCCCACATATTTCACTTAACAGATATTAATCCACCTTTAATTTTAGTGTAAGATATGTTGGTCAAATTATAATATGTTTAGAATAAAGAGTACAGATGTCCAGAATTGATTAAGTCATATCAGGTAAAAATGACTATAAAAGTAGAGGGAAAAAGCATTGTGACATAATTCTTGGCAAAGATTTTTTTGACTATGATCCCAAATGCACAGACAACAATAACAAAAGCAAACAAATGGGTTTATACCACATTAAAGAGCTTTTGTGCAGCAAAAGAAGCAATCAACATAATAAAGAAACAACTTATTGTCAGAATTTTAAACCATCAAAGCTCCAAACCTATATTGAATACTTGAATTGAGGGAAGTGAGGTAAGTATTCTAGACATCCCACAGCTTTGGAAAGTAGAGGTGAAAATGTGGGAATATCTTTAACAGTGAGATGGAGTTGGTCATGAGACTCTGATTAGTTTAGGAATGAAGAATAATCATGAAACTACAGAATTTAATTATCTATCCATACTATCCTATTAGCCAAGTGTGTATTAGGCAAGGCTTGGGTCATATGAAAAAATAATTTCTGTGATAGAATGAGTTAACTCTATTAAACAAGATGCAAATAGGTAAGATCGCTTATAATATTTACCAGTCATCAGATCATCATAACTTGATTTACACTATGAAGAGAAGGCAAATTAAGAACAAGGAGACTCTTTTAGAACTAACGGGCCAAGAAAAACCTCCCCAAGTTTTACATGTTTTTTTATTTATACTGATGATCAGAGCTTTGATTATTGTTCTTAATATGAAATGCACATGGAAATATGTATCATGTATAGATAATATATGCATGTGAAGAAGAGGGAGAGAATGACAAGAGACTACATGCTTTATAGATTATAAGGAAAATGACAAGTAGTGCTTGTAGTCTCAACACACACGCACCTTTGCACCTAATTCATTATAATGCAATTTCAATGCTGTTACTCTTTCATCAAGTTCTTTGGGGTTTTCCGTCTGCTTTTTCTGTACAATTTGACGTCCAGTTTTTATCACCATCTCCACTTCAGACTTCACTTCACTCAGACTTTTATACAGATTCTAAGGCAAAATACAAAACAAAACATAATAACCAATATATGTTAATAACCAATAGTGTTAAATTAATTTTTGCTATTATTAAGTTTAAAAATAGGGAGAATATCACCTTAATTTCTATTTCATGTTTATAGTTTTAATGGAATAGCATTTTGTAGCTGTCATGATATACAGTTTTTGTATTTTCTGTTGATTTAATTCTATTTATGATGATATACAGAAAAATATGCATAATTTTCAGTTATTATATAGAGTACATCATAAATAATTATTTCTTCAATCCAAGTACCTAAAGATCATTTGTAAACATTACATGATTTCTATTTTAAGTGTTAGAGTTATATAATTATCACCACAACTTTGGGTGAATTAATTCATTCAATCACCAGAAATTTATTGAGTGCATACAGTGCCCCAGACAGTATTCAAGTCACTTAGGGAATCAATGGTGGACAAGTCAGATATGTTCACTGCTGTTTTTAGAATGATTATATTTCAGTAGGTAGGGTAAAACAATAAATTTACAGATCATAGTTTCTATATATATATTATATCATTTAAAGAAGGAAAGTAATTTTAAACATTTTAACTAGATTATATTAGTTTATTTTCTTGATTTCTTTTTTTTTGGTAGTATTGGCATTTGAATTCAGGGCTTTGTGCTTATTAGGCAAGTACTCTACCACTTGAGCCACACTCCAGCTTAATTTATCTTCTGATAATAATAAAAAATAAATATGTTATTTAAAACTCACATGTATATCACAATTACAAAGCACACACCTATTGCTTTACAAGAGTAGGTTGCTATACCAAAGCCTCGTGAGGTAAGTATCATAATATTGGATGACAGCTCTACTTGCCACCATCCCAACAATTGGTGTCATAATTTTGCTTTGCAATTATTTTCCTCTAGACATATATATGTATGCATTCATGTATGTACATATGTATATACATGTACACATGTATATGTGTATATATGTAAAAATATATAGACATAATAGTTTACATTATACATTGCTGCTTTAGTTTGTTTAGTGCTGTATCTGAGCAATAATAAGTTTTATTAGTACTAAGAAATAATATTGCTAGAAGTTGATTATCTTTGAAATTAGAAGTAAAGTTGGGTTTTTTTCTCTTCAGGTTAAAATCAATGTCTATAACTAAACACTCTCTAAAGTCTGATCAATTCTATAGCAAGGTAGCAGGTTATAAAATCAACATAGAAAAATCATTAGCATTTCTATACACTAATAATGAACAAACTGAGAAAGAATATATGAAAACAATTCCATTCACAACAGCCTCAAAAAAAATCAAATACCTAGGTGTAAACCTAACATAAGATGTGAGTGACCTCTACAAGGAAAACTTAAAGTTCTGAAGAAAGAGATTGAGGAAGACTAAAGAAAGTGGAGAGATCTCCCATGCTCATGGATTGGTAGAATCAACATAGTAAAAATGTCTATACTCCCAAAAGTAATCTACATGTTTAATGCAATTCCCATCAAAATTCCAATGACATTCATTAAAGAGATTGAAAAATCTACTGTTAAATTTATATGGAAACACAAGAGGCCATGAATAGCCAAGGCAATACTCAGTCAAAAGAACAATGCAGGAGGTATCACAATACCTGACTTCAAACTATATTACAAAACAATAACAATAAAAACAGCATGGTACTGGCACAAAAACAGAAATGAAGACCAGTGGAACAGAATAGAGGACCCAGATATGAAGCCACACAACTATAACCAACTTGTCTTTGACAAAGGCGCTAAAAATACAAGATAGAGAAAAGACAGCTCTTCAACAAAAACTGCTGGGAAAACTGGTTAGCAGTCTGCAAAAAACTGAAACTAGATCCATGTATATCACCCTATACCAAGATTAACTCAAAATGGATCAAGGATCTTAATATCAGACCCCAAACTCTAAAGTTGGTACAGGAAAGAGTAGGAAATACTCTGGAATTAGTAGGTATAGGCAAGAACTTTCTCAATGGAACCCCAGCATCTCAGCAACTAAAAGATAACATAGATAAATGGGACTTCATAAAACTAAAAAGCTTCTGCTCAACAAAAGAAATGGTCTCTAAACTGAAGAGACCACCCACAGAGTGGGAGAAAATATTTGCCAGCTACACATCAGACAAAGGACTGATAATCAGAATATATAGGGAACTTAAGAAACTAAATTCTCCCAAAATTAATGAACCAATAAAGAAATGGGCAAGTAAACTAAACAGAACTTCCTCAAAAGAAGAAATTCAAATGGCCAAAAAACACATGAAAAAATGCTTACCATCCCTAGCAATAAAGGAAATGCAAATTAAAACCACACTAAGATTCCATCTCATCCCTGTTAGAATAGCTATCATTAGCAACACCACGAACAACAGGTCTTGGTAGGATGTGGGGAAAAAGGAACCCTCTTACACTGCTGGTGGGAATGTAAACTAGTACAACCACTCTGGAAAAAAATTTGGAGGCTACTTAAAATTCTGAACATTGATCTACCATATGATCCAGCAATACCATTCTTGGGGATATACCCAAAAGAATGTGACACAGGTTACTCCAGAGGCACCTGCATACCCATGTTTATTGCAGCACTATTCACAATAGCCAAGTTAAGGAAACAGCCAAGATGCCCCACCACTGACGAATGGATTAAGAAAATGGTATTTATACACAATGGAATTTTATGCAGCCATGAAGAACAATGAAATGTTATAATTTGCAGGTAAATGGATGGAATTGGAGAACACCATTCTGAGTGAGGTTAGCCTGACCCAAAAGGCCAAAAATCATATGTTGATCACATGATAAAGTGAGAGCACACAAGGGAGGTATGAGGATAGGTAAGACACCTAAAAAACTAGATAGCATTTGTTGCCCTCAACGCAGAGAAACTAAAGCAGATACTTTAAAGCAACAGAGGCCAATAGGAGAAGGGGAACAGGAACTAGAGAAAAGGTTAGTTCAAGAAGAATTAACTTAGAAGGTAACACACATGCATAGGAAATCGATGTGAGTGAACTCCCTGTATAGCTATCCTTATCTCAACTAGCAAAAACCCTTGGTCCTTCCTATTATTGCTTATACTCTCTCTTCCACAAAATTAGAGATAAGGGCAAAATAGTTTCTTCCGGGTAGTGAGGGGTGAGGGGGGTAAGGGAGGGAGCGGGGGGGGGGGCGAGTAAGGGAAGGGGCGGGCAGAAGGGGGGAGAAAGGACCCAGACATTGTACGCACATATGAATAAAGTAAAAATTTTTAAAAAGGGGGTACATACATAATCTATATTAACATCAGTGATGACTGATGTTAATATTTCCTTACTAATAATTTTGAGTTCTATATGAGCTTTCCAGATAAGTTTTCTTTTTATTTTACCTCACCTGGAAACATTGGCATCATCCATTGTTATGCTGGGAATCAACTATGTGACTTTCAGATGATTTACTCTTTAAAATTAAATAAATATTGCTGATTTATCTCCAAGATGAAAATACATTCATAATATGTTAGCCATTACCATCATTTTATTTTGTAGGAAAATAAAATATTCATAACTAAGGAAGGGAAATATTCCTTCTATTTGTGTTTAAGTTACTAAGACCTATCATTTTATTAGACAATATTCTTTTAATGCAATGCCATGATTATGGTATATATCATGAAGCATCTTATGAAATAGAAAATATAAAAGTTGTAAACAAAAGATTCTAGGCCCAGTATGTTGGCACATGACTGTAATACCAGTTACTTGGGAAGAATTGGCAGAAGGATCATGAGTTTAAGGCCTACCTGGGAAAAGTTTGCAGACCTTATCTCAAAAACAAAAAGCACAAACAAAAAGGCTGGAGACGTGTCTCAGTTGGTAGAGTGCCTGGCCTGCATAACTAAAAAGAGGCCCTGGGTTAAATTCCCAGTGCCTCAAAAGAAAAGTCTGTGTGGAAAGACTCGGAAAAAGTGGTCCTAATATTTAAACCAGAACCAGAAACAAATTGAACCAGTGTTTTAAGAGGTTTCTTTTGTAATGGTGTAGGTAGGGTTATTTTCAGCTCATATTTATTAACAGATATTTTTTGAAGTAATATTAGACACCAGTTCCTAGAAGAAAATAAAACCTCTCACTTTGCAAATATTACTCATGATGATTGTATACTTGAATCATTTTTGCTTTTAATTCTTTTTGCAATATTTTAGATATGTTCCCATGTATTCCTATCCTTACTTATCTAATATCAGCTAATTACTGTTTATCATTATATTTAAATTTTCTTTATTTGGACTGTGATATAAAATGCAGCTTAAATGATTCATAAATGTTAAATTAAATAATTTCATATTTTTCACAAATAAGTTTGTACATTTCTTTTAAAGTGCTTGCTCTAAAAATAATTTTGTCATTCATTATGACATGACTGAAATGTATGTAATGGGCTGGGTCTCCTTTTCTTTTATATCATGGAGCTAATGCAGAAACAATACTTCAAACATAAAGCACTTAATAGATAATTTTTTCCTTTAGCAATAAGAATATTCAGTGCTCTCATTTTATGTGACTTTACTCCTGATGCACCCAGTATAGAAAGATCTATCATAGTATTTATATTATTGCAGGAGTTACCTTCACATTTTAGCTCTATGTTTTCAGGGGGATCCCCTGACTTGATGAATTCTAAGAACAGAAACATGTGACACAGCTCAATATTCCAAATGCTAATGAAGATTTATGCTGTAGCTTAGTTGCATCTGTTGGTGTGGACTTGTGGCATTTCAGTATATATTTAGCATTGATATTTAATGGAAACATGTTAGGATTTGGAGTAAGAGTGAATGGAATGAACGTGTCTTACCCTTCATAGTCATTTGTCTTTCATTTCTCAGGTAGCTTTGAGAATTAGAGATGACTTTTTTACGTTGCTTAACTTACTGGGCATCCATTATTTCTGGAATGGTTATTATTATTGCAACCACTGCTGTGGTTACTATTTCTGACCTAATATATTACCTTTCTGGATTTTCATTAAAAATATATTCAAAGTACCATGCAATAAAGCAAAAGAACTGGAGCCATGGCTCCAGTGGTAGAGTGCTTGTCTAGCAAGCACATGACCCTAAGCTCAATCCCCCGTCCTCCCCAAACAAAAAGAATTAAGCAAAAGAGACTGCTTTTATATTCTGCATAGTCATTAGGATTGTTGATTCAAAAAGGACACAGAGTACTCACTAAGTGGCTACTCTTTCAGTAAATTTCCAATGTCTGAATATATGTGCAACTTTTGTTCTTAATCTTAAAACTGTATTGAATAGTTTTTACAGTTATCAAAATTCATTTTTCTATTATAAAAGAGAATCATTAATTAATTTTTAATAAGGAAAGTTGAGGGGAGCTGGCCACTTCTCATCAGAAATACGTACCACACAATGATTTAACTGTGATTGTACTACTTCCTGTTCAACACTCTTTGTTTCCAAAGAAGGCAAGTGCATCTTCACTTCATCTAAAATCATCTTACTTTCCTCTAGACGCTGCTCAAAATTGGCTGGTTTCTGGAATAATCGAAATTTCATGGAGACATCTTGCAATTTTTTCTATAAAGAGAATGTAAAGAGGTAGCAATGTAATTTTGAGTTCTGTAAAATAATCAGTCACATTTTTCTTAATGGATTTTCCTTTATTTCTGAAGTTACACAGAAATAAAAATAAAGTAACATTTGTTTCAATCACCCAACACAAAAATACATACAAGGAGAGAAAAATTCAATAACTTTTCTTAATCTTATACTAAACGAATTGTAATATATTACATTATTTTCTCTCAAAATGTACAATACAAAAGGCTCATATTTATAACCATCATATTGTAGTTTTCAAATAATGCCATTCATCTCAATTTTGCTAATAATCAAATTGTCTCATTTAGACTAGACTATGTTTTAATGTGTGAATAAAACTACCTTCTTAGTTTGTGTAATAAAATATACCTGTGTAGCATCAATTTGGGATAGAAGTCTCTGGGCAGCATCCTTTCCCTCGTTGTGTTTCTTCATTTCTTCCAAACTGATCTCATGACTTGTCAAATCAGATTGGATCTTCTGTTGGGAGGACAACATTATTAGTCAGCATACTCTGCAAGTTATTGCAAAGGACAACTATCTCACTTTCCATGAAAATGCAATTCAGAAACTCTCCTAAACCATTACTAACAACATAGCCTCCTTTTACAGGCTCTGCCTGGAAGTGGGGGTGGAGGTGGAGGATTGGAGTAGGGGAGGAGGTGGTACAAACAATGTACACACATGTAAGTAAATGTAGAAATGATAAAATAAAAGGGGAAAAAGATATTTTTTCATAAATTATCAAAAGTGAGATTATTTCTTTCTCCTCATTGAGATTATTACAAAAAGATGCTCATTTTGTGTCAATGATAATAAATATTTCAGGTATCATTTTCTTTCAAAGGAAATTTCTATTTATATTTCATATTTAGAATTGGTGCTGGTATATCCTTAAAGTTATACTTGAACTCAACAAAAAATAAGATGTTAACCTTTATAAATTAATTGTGACAGGGAAACGATATAATGCAAATGTTGCATATGAATAATATGTGGTGTTTGTGTGGGATATTTCTGTTAAACTTCAAGGAAACTATAGATCTTTCTCAATGGCATTGCATTTTTGTCTGATTATATATATATATACATATAGGCAGTACTGAAGATTCAATTCAGAGCCTTGCACTTGCAAGACAGGCACTCTACCACTTGAGCCATACTCCCATCCCTTTTTGCTTTAAGTATTTTTCAGGTAGGGTTTCATGTTTTTTTGCTGGGGCCAGCCTGGAAGGCAATCCTCCTAATTATGCCTCATACATAGTTTGGCCAACCCATGGCTTGTTGGTTGAGATAGGCTTTCATTAACTTTTTGTCTTGGCTGGCCTGGAATGACAATCCTCCTGATCTCTGCCCCTTAAGTAGCTGGGATTTCAGGTAAGGAGCCACTGTGCCCAGGTGTCTATAGATTTTCATATGCCCACATGAAAATATCATAATAACTATAAGTTAATAATCTTACATCCTAAGAAACTCCTGCAGCACTTAGCTCATATTAATGAGATAATTCTCATTACTCAGCCCAGGGCCATATTACTTTGTGATAGCTCGTAAGTAACAGTGATGTCATTTTCTAGTAATTTGTACCAGAAATGAATCCAAATGGTGCAAATTAATTGATTGTAATATGCAACATACAAGTTATTTTATATGATATTTTATGACCATTTTGGTAAAAGTTAACAGTTTTTCTTCTTTAATTTATTTATAAGAACCTGACAATAACTGAATTGTAAGTTAGAATAATTTGATCACCAGCTGATTTTTTGGTGGAACTGACTGCCAAAAAGTGTTAATGTATTATTTTGGTAACTGTACACTACATATTTGATACATATCTGTAACTGGCTCACAAATTCATAAGTCAAACAAAGTCATACTATTGAATAAAATTTGATCAAAAAGGTTGTTATTAAATATAGAAAAAGTATGAATATTTTGTATTAATTTAAAATTCAAAAATTATTATTTACAGGAGCCATTAAGAATCAAGCAGACAAGCTGGGCATCATAGCTTATGCCTATTATTGTAGCTACTCAGGAGGCAGAGATGTATAATCTGGTGAAATTTTTAAGACATTTGCATAGGACTGTGAGAGGTATTTGAAGGGATACACAATAAAAAAATGGAATCTCATTCCAGGCTATGGGAACCACACAGCAAAGATTGAGTTGGGGTCATGTGCAGTGTGTATGGTTACTTTTATGGAAGTAACCCAACCAACACAACAATAAAAAAACCTACCAAAAAAACCCCACTAAATGTGGATTGAGTAAGAATTACTATTTAGAGGAGGAAGCCATTAATTCCCAAGTTTCAGGGCCCCTCGCTTGCAAGAGACCATTCTATAAGCAAGAGGTAAATATTATACCAGTTTTTCTTAAAGATTGAACCTCAGAATTCTAGATGCTTGGCATTACAAAACAAAGCAAGTACACCTTAGTGGTTAATTGAGTCACAGGAATTCTGATGATAAATTCCACAATTTTTCAAATGAGACATACTATTTTCATGATTCATAAACAATAGGAATAATACAAACTTACCAACACATGATGAAAAACTTAACTTTTATCTACCACTAGGAGATGTGAAGGATCAAGAAATATGTGAGGGGGAGGTGGGACAATTTGAATAGAGTGGAAAGTATTTCAGAGAACTTGAAATGTTCATATTTATATAAAGTAGTTAGGTAGACTATTGACCAAATTAGTTTCTATATTCTTAGAAAGGTCATCACCATTAAAATGGAAATAAAATAATGGCTGAACATCATATAAAAGTGAGGGTTTATACTTTATCTGCATTTCTAGAAAATTTATATGGCATAGTACTGTCCAACATGATTAGAGACCAAATTTTCATTATGAGTTAAGCAGATCATACATAAGAACAGCTCAGTGGCTAAATATATTGAAGAAATTAAAGATAAACATGTTTTTACATTTTACTTAAGATCATTTATGTATTAATAAATGTATATTTCAAAGAGTGAAACAGTACTTTATTCTAATTATGCTTTGGCTTTTTTAAAGATTATTATTACACAAATGGTTTGGGAAAATCTATTAAATGTACTCTGTATGTTCATTAACAATTTTATGCATTATTAAAGTTATAAGGTAATCATATATTTCCAATTGATTCAACTTTAGAAAAGTTGTGAGACATGCAACATATTTATATTAATCTAGCACCTTTTAAAATTAATTACACAACATTTATTAATTTTTAGTTTGTACTTAGTATACCATTTGCCACTTACTTTCCTCAACCTCAAAGTATTATTCTGGGACTACATAAAATAATGCTCATCACTTGAAGGCAGATTTATTGTGAAAAGATATGTAAACTGTTTAGATGACAGAATATTATGGCAACTTCCAATCAAAAACAAAATCTTTTATTCAAAAACCTGTCTAATAAAGAAAAAGATAACTAGTACACCATTACTTTTAGCATTAGCAGATGATGAAAGAAAATAGTATTTTAGAATAAAACACTAGGAACAAAACATTTAATTCAAATAAATTTATTTTCATATTTACCTATTAAAGTCATAAATTTTCCGATGGATTTGTTTTAATCTAATAAAAACATCTACTCAGATATGGATGTTAAGCATTTGAAGAAAACAGACAAACAAACCACTGATCTTGTGAAACTATCAACCTGACTACATATAAAATCAGTAAATTCCACCATAAACATAGTGAAAGGAAGTAGACATCTGCGGTTCCTTATATATTAGACTCCTTTGGAGTTGTGAATCTACTAGACTTTTTTTCCTGTAAAAGTGAAGTAATATAAATAAAGTATATCATTATGCCAGTATAAAAACTAAAAGATATTTGAAAATATACTTATTATTCTCATAATTAAAACTAGTCAAAGTATGAAAGAAATAACATTTGCAGTGGAAATAACCATTTCCATTAAAGATGGTAAAGGGCAAAATCATAAAACAAAAAGAGCAATCAAACATTAATGATATTTGAATATAGCACTTTACAATTAACTGAACTGAGAACAGGCTTTTCATGCTTTACCTCATCAGACCATTCCCATATATCAAATTAATGACAGAAAATGGCAAGCAAAATTAAGCTGTTGCTTTCTGAAGTATTTAATGGAATAAAGGACACTATGTCAAATAATTATTGGCACTTTAGTAGTGTCAAAGAAAGAAAATGATACTATGGAAAACAACAGAAAATATTTAAGAAAGAAAAATATTAAAAGATACCATGTTGAGATCGCTGATTATTAATGGAGAAGTAAAACAGTCAGCAATTCTAAAACAGCAATTTTGAAATTGCATCTTCTAGAAGAGCAAACATTCACTTATAACACAAACATACAAAATAAAAGGAAAAATGTACTAATGGAATTTGGATGAGGTATACTTTACAAACTTTGGAACAAGCAAAAATATAATTACTATCATGGACAAATAAAGTTGAAAAGTTTCAAATTATACTTTATAATAATTTAATATGTTCAAGAAAGAAGAAACTCATACAGATTTTTACTATGGTTTGTATGAAAAATGCAAAGCTCATTAGACAAGTTAGAAAGAGTATTTCCTAGAAATTAAATTTTGGATCCCTTACATGCATTTTCAATTATGCCCCCATTTTAACCACCGACTTTAGCCATTAATCTGGTAAAGTATTCTCTTTAAACACCAATAACTGATTTATGAGCCTTAGGAAGTAGTAATTATCAAATAAATTACATGGATGCTTTGAAAACATTAAAACATTCACATGGAGTGATCCTTGAAAAATACGTAATTCATGGAAAGGCTGGACTATATACCTCTTGTTAATCATTCCTTTGCATGTGAAAAATCCTTTTTGTACTCTGATAATATTTTGGAAGTGTTTCTGAAGCTCAAAACTTTTGGCAATGTCATAATGCTGTATAAGAAATTGTCATGATTCCATTAAGCTCTATTATAGAAAATGGTTTTCAACTTGGTTTACTAGCAACTAATTAATATTCATCTTTCTTCTCTTATGATGTCTTATGAGTAACAAAGGACATTGTCCATTTAAAAAAAATTTACATTACCAATTATATTTGGTAACTAAAACCTCATGAAATTCAATGAATTTGCTAAATACTTATTGAGCATCTGCTATGTGGCTCTGCTGTCTTGAGCATTAGTAGGAGGGAATGGGGTAGACAAAGAAAAAACAACAAAACAAAGACAAACAAGTCTCAGATAATAAGTAAATGCTAAAAAGAAAATAAGATGAACTGTCCTATTTGTGTGACCAGCATTATCTGACTGATCATTTGGCATTAATAACTTTTTTTGTGAGAATAAATGTGCACTTATATGAGAAAATCAGGAACTATGTTGAATAAAAATTGCCACAAAATATTTAGAGTACTGCTTAGCCTTCTCTGTGACTATCGTATGATGTTACTAGTTTGTTTGATCTTTGTATTTATTTTTCATAAAATATGA